ATAAAGGGAATTCAAAAGCCCTTTAGTCCAACCCCTACATTTTACAGATGAGAAAACTGAGGCTAGTGGATATTAATGGACTAGTTCAAGGTCACGAAGGTAGTAACTACCAGAGACAGGATTTGAAACTGTGATCTTTGCCTCCAATGTCACTGTTTGATCCTTTGGAGCAGGCTGCCTCCTAAATCAGTAGTAAAGATTTTTTTTTCTTTTGCTCACTATTAATTCAAATTTGGAATCAAAAATTATAAACTGATGAAGGAAAAGAAGTATTGCTATTTCTCATGATGAGGAATCTGTCCAAAATAAAGATCCTCAATGTTTGTGTACAGTTTGTAACAGGTTTGGTCTAAACAAAGATTCATGATTCCTCTTCAGAGGGAAAATATACAAATTAGGCTTTCCACCCTCCCCCCAACTCTTTCATTCTCCTGGCCCGTAACTGGTCTGTTGGAGTATTCTGCTAATGAGGTCAGAGTCCCTGGAGTTCTCTGGAAGCCTAGTGAATGCCTACCCTGGTCACAAGGGGATCCTCCAGGAGTGAGCTGTCCTTTTCCCTGAAGGGCAACAGATTCTATAGATGAAATTAACTACTCAGGGGATGTAAAAGTTAGAGTGTGACCATGAACAAGCCAGTCAGTTAAGCTCTCTGGGGCCTCAGTTTCCTCATCTGTAAAATGAGGGGTTTTTGATCATCTCTGAGGTCTCTTCCAACTTGAGGTCTGTGATCCAGTGGTCTTAGGATCCTATGAAGTCATGGGAAGTGTCAGCTACTAACCAAGTCGATCCTGTTAGTCCCCCTTTTAGAATCCAGAGAAACTAAAGCCTTCCAATGGAAATATTCTATTAAAAAATACAAATCGTAGCCTTTTCTCCCTAATGAGAAGAAAGGATAGATCCTCTTCACCTTTTGAGAATGTTAAGCCCTTTGTATCATCTCTGATTTTTATCTTGACTTGCACAGCCTATTTTTCTCCAAGCTCAATTCTTAGTGAGCATCCCTACCCTGAGACTGCATGCCTGTTCTGTGACACAGAGCTTTCCAAAGTGAAAAACAAGCCCCACATATAAGCCAGCCCTTGACACCAAATAAGCCAAATTTATGCTCTAGCAGCTAGGTCTTACCTCTTGAAGCACAGATATTTAGGAAAAGGTCTCCAAAGCTATGACTTTCTCCTGGTTATGCTGGGACAACCCACACCTTTTGGACTTTGGGAAGGGCTCTAGTACAGCTTCAGAAACAGCCAGGAGCCACATTTCTGGGTCTTACAAGGCAGGGCCATGACTCTAGGTGCTTGACCATGGTAAGGAGGATTCAGAGCATAGAAAGCATTAAAGATGAAGAGAAAGACAAGTCAATGTCCTCCACTGACCACAAGGAAGTGACTGACAGGCATGTCTTTATTTTTTCCTTCTATGTTCACAGATTAAATCAAACATGAGGAAAGATTTAACCAGTGGAACCTGCATAGTGGTCTTAGCTAGTGAAAAAAAAAAAGGATTATTGATGTCTCATTTCAAAGTCTGCATACTAATAAAAGTAGCTAAAATTGTAAAGATAATAATAGCAGCTCATATTTATAATAAGCACTTTCAGGTTTACAAAGTGCTTTACATATATTATAAAGGAAAGCAATTTTCTTTTGCTAAGGTTATTTTATGTCTGCAACTTAATTACTTGGCTTACACTGAACAACAGTTGGCTTGATTGAAGTAAATAAGTTTTTAAAAAATGGGGAAATTCATGTTTTAAAGGAGATCTCAACTAAATGAAAGCAAATGAAGGATGACTAAGAAGTACTTTTGGCCCTGCCAAGGCAATGACACTGCATGTGTGAACTGATTTTACTACCCCAGTGACTACTAAGATAGTGTTACACTCCTTTGATCTGTTGAGGAAATGATTTACACTGTAAGTACAGCTGAATTTTTTCCAATTCCTATTGCATCAGTTCCAGGGGGTCCCATCCACAACCTCAAAGGCTCTGAACTTTGTAATTAGCACTGTCAAAGCTACTGGAAATGATGTTTTGGAGAAAATGGTCGTGGTGTTAGTTACCCTCTACTCAGCGCTTCTTTGTTTTTAAGAGAAGCATTTGCAAAGCCATGACCATAGCATAGATCTTCATTTTAAGGCTCTTCGTAAAAGCCAGGAAAGTTAGTATGAAACAGCAAAGCACATATATTTATTTGGGAAAGCGGGATTTGGTGACGCTTTCTTCCACTTGCGGTGCCAAGGTGCAGCAGAACTCCAGTCCTGTCTAAGTAACTGTCTGTGACTGGTTCCAGCAGGCCCCAGGTGTTTCCTCAGCTTGCTATTCTTGAAGCTGCTTAGATCCAAGTATTTTCTCACTCCCTTTGGATCTAGAAAGGATCCAGGTGCTTTTGAACTAAACATCTGTAGAATAAGAGCAAGCCAGGTGTTTCCTTACAGGTTGAGCAAAGATGGAGCAACGTGTGCCCAAGATGAATCAAGATTCAAGGAAACCTAAGTATATACCTCCTTCCACTTAACTGATGGATGAACTGATTAACAGACTGACTGAAAGATGTGTCTTTGGGAAGTCAGATCTATACTGGGCACTGAAACAGCTAAGTTCAATGTTAATCTCCAAAGACATTGTCACTTGCTTGGCTTTAGCACTCCTGTGAGTGCATCTCAAGGCACTAAAGGAGTGAATTCCAGACAAGGAGAAAGATCCCAGAGTCTCAAGCAAGCTGTCTAAATGAACAACTCTTATTCAGATTAGAAACACTTCCTTGGCCTGCTTTCCTTCCTTGCTTCCTTCCTTGCTTCCTTCCTTCCTTCCTTCCTTCCTTCCTTCCTTCCTTCCTTCCTTCCTTCCTTCCTTCCTACACCTCACGCATTTTTCTTCCCAAATTCTGCACTTCCTCTGTTTCTCCAAAGGACCTGCTCCACTGGGGGACTTTTCAGGAGCCCAGCTGCCGCTGCTGCTGCGCTGCTGCCGCTGCCTCTGCTGCAGTCTGGTCAGTGCAAGTAGGACAGTGCCGAGCATAGGCGAGCTAGGGCACAAAGAGCGTGACCTCTCTGCGCCGCCTCCTCCTCTGGCCTCGGTTAAGGATACGAGCCAAACTAGCAGGATAGAAACTCCCTCCCCTTTCCCTTCCTCCTTCCCCGCCACCCTGGCAGGGGCTGCGGCGGTGGCGAAAGCGTTGCTCGCACCAGCAGTCTCAGCCGGTCAGCCAGCCAGCGAGCCTCAAACCCCACGTTGTTTTTTTGTTTTTGTTTTTGTTTTTGTTTTTGTTTTTTGTCCAGTGCCAAGCGTAACCAACCTCCTCCAATCTCGTTGTTCGGTCACAAGTGGCTTTGTGAGATAGCAGCCCCAGGTTCCTATTCCCTGGAAATAGCATAAACGGCTTACGGATGTACAACTGGAGACTTTCTAAGAAACCCTGTGTTCTGTGGATCTCTTTATCAAGGCAGCAGCAGCAGCACCCTTTCACTCCTCAGATCCGGCGCCCCTCACCTCCCATAGTCCCCGAGGCCAAGCCACAAGAACACGCTGGCTGTGCTAAGGGGCGGGGGTAGGGGTAGGAGTCCCAGAGAGAGAGGCCTGGGGGGCTCCTATTCCACTTGGAATCATCTCCCACCCCCACCCCCTTCAGCTCCAGGAGAACGCGTACGTGTCTGGGGAGACGTGTTTCATTTCTGGGACTAGTTTTCCCAGCTCCTCCCAATTCATTAGCTTTCTTGTTTTTGTTTGTGTTGATTTGGTTTGGTTTGAGGGTTGGGATAAAGGGGGTGAAGAACAAAACAGGAAAGCTAAAGAGATGGATGGAGATCAATTATCTCCGAGTTACCTGGGGCGGGGATGGGGGCTGGGAAAAGGGGCACACGTAAATTTCACGTAATGCAGGACCTTAGCTAAGCTTCCTTGTTCTGCTTCCGATCATCCATCCCCACAGAATCACCTCATTTTATCTATATTTTTAAATGACAGGACAGCTTTGGGGGGAGGGAGGGGAGGAGATGAAGGGGGTGTAAATCTGTGCCTGTGAATAGTATAACTATCATTTAAAAAAAATAATAAAATGAACACCCAACGAATATAACTGAGATTGAGTAATATCTTTTTACCTGCTGCACTCTGAACTCAGTCCGCCCTTCCTACCCCGCACCGGTTTCTTAATCTTAGGATCTAGTCCTCACACCAGACGCAAAACCTTCCCGGACGAGAACTCGCAGGCAGATCTTAAGGGAGAAGTTTCCAGCCTCCACCTCCCATTACCACCCCCTACATCTAGACTCTCCGGTTCACTTCCACCCCTCCAGAGAGGAGGGAAGGAGAGAGAGCTCTCTTCCCAAATATGCAACAGGGCTTCCACCAAGGGAAAGCCCTCTCCCAGCACACACCCCTCCCGTCCCCTTCTCCTCCTCCACTCCAAACGCCCTTCTCTTCTGCGCTCCACTGTGTTCAGTCTCTAGACTCGGAAACTTCTTTCTCGTCTCAAGTCGGTGCTATCCAGTTTAACCTCTTCACTGTCTGACCTCTCCAACCCTCCAACAAATGACTTATTTCCAGACACCCCCTCCAATAATACACACACACACACACACACACACACACACACACACACACACACACACGAGGAGGAATGTGCAGAGGACCCGAGTTGAAGGAAAGCACCACCCCCTCTCCGCCTGCCCCGAACCACTTGGAAACAACCTCGAGAATTTTGTATAGTGTGTGGCATGCGTATGGGTTGTGTGCGTGTCCCAGGATCGCACAAGGGGGTGGGGTGGAGGGACGACTGGGGAAGGCAAGCAGCAGCACATCTGGAGGTAGGGGAAGTAGAAGGCTAGGGGGCGGGGAAGTGAGCCGCTAGCTCGGCTTCGTTCGCCGGGGTCCGCTGCCAGAGTTATCTCCACCGCTGAGGCTCCAGCGGGAGGCGGGATGGGAAAGTTTCAAAGAGTCCGGGGTGGGAGGGGGAAAGGGGGAGATAACTAAAGGGATGGTGGGGGGGATGTTGCCGGTTACCTGTCCAATATTGATGAATCCGTATTTGCTAGCTATCCTGTTGGCCTCCTGGAATCCCCCGGCGATCTTTACAGCCCAGTGGTTGGTGTACACGCGAGTCCTACATACTGGCAGCAGGCAGCCCAAAAGCAGGGCCAACACACAGAGCAGGTCCAATCGCCCCAGGCAGCACCGACTCCTCCAGACCATCGTCCTTTCTCCTCCTCGGGAAACCACCCCAATCAACACAACTTCTCTTTCAAAGCTCCCTTTCCCCTGGGCTCCAGCGGCTCCTTAACGTTCACCACTGCCAGTCAGACAATCCCCAGCCGCAGCGAGAAACCCTTCCAAATTTAGGTGGAAGAAACTAGAAATAGCTTGGAATATTGCATTGGACCTTGCGCTGGCTTTTAGACCATTTCTGATTGTTAAGGTGAACTACCTTATCCTCTCCCCTTCAGGAGATGAAGTGAGTGGATAGGGGCTGCTCTCCCAGTTTTGAAGCTTTTAGGTTTGTTTGGTTTTCTCTTTACAGATGAATGTTTTGAGTTTGTCTTTCTTCTTCACCGCAGTTCTTTACCTCCTTCTCACTCCTTTTCTTTTCTCCCCACTTGATTATCTTGTGTTTTCTTTCTTCTTCTTCCTCCTTCTTTTTCCCTAAGGCCCAGAGAGCAGCAGCGGCAGCAAGCAGCAGCAAGCAGCAGCAGCAACAGCAGCAGCAGCAGCAGCAACAGCAGCAGCAGCAGCAGCAGCAGCAGCAGCAGCAGCAGCAGCAGCAGCAGCAGCAGGCAGTGTGAGTGTTGGCAGCTGAGCGCCTCTTCGGCTCCGTCAGAGTCAGAAACCTCCCTCCCTCCCTCCCTCTCTCTCTCTCTCTCTCTCTCTCTCTCTCTCTCTCTCTCTCTCCTCTCTCTCTCTCTCTCTCGCCCTCCCTCCCTCTCCGAGTAGTGAGTGTGGAGTGTGAGTTGAAATGGCAGCAGCGCCTTCTCTGCATAAATGACTCTCTCCCCCCCACACACACCCCCTACACAACCCTTCTTTCCCACCTCCCCCTCACCCCCTCCCTCCTCTTGCCGTCCGAAAGCGGTACGGATCCAGACTCTGACTAGGTCCTAGCGCCGACTTTTTAAAACTATAACCTCCGGGATCCGGGGCAAGAAGAAAGTGCACGCTGTTATCTGCGTAGAGAACCTGGTGGATTCCGGGGTTTGAGGTTCGCCTTCCCCAATCCGGTGCTCCTTGTTATTTTGCTGCTGCTTCCTGAAAGACTGGAGAAACATACAGTCGAGTGACCTAGGGATTCATTCATTCATCCTTGGTCTGAACGTCCTTTAACAGCTAGCGTTTAAGAAGGTCAATTTCATGTCAATTGTCTAAGGAATAACCTGAGATTTTCACTTCGTTAATTCTTCATGCTTTTCACCGACTGTTTATTTTCCATGTTCTATTCCAGAGAAGGAGCATCCACTCATTATAATGTCCCTATGGCCAGGGAAAGTAATGAACTTGCTGACATCTAAAAGCAGTGAACTCTATACTACATAATTCCATGGAAAAATAAAATTTCCCAATTAAGTTTTTTTCTTTCCTATGAATATTCTGTACGAAATAAGATAGACGTTGTCCAATCCGAGGGAATGGGTGTCTGCTCTATGCTTTAAGTTTTTTTTTTCTTTCTTTTTTTTTTTAAAAATATGAACTAGGGCAAAAGTTGCCCAACTTTTCAAGTACCTTATGTGCTGGAAAATGCAAATTACTTCAATAAAAGGGCACAAATGGAAGGTTATGAATAAATATACCTTTTCTGCCAGCTCTAATCTTTATATGCAATAGTACTTGCAAAAAAAAAAGTAGCACAGAAATAGTTTGACGAATGTTACTCCAGTTCTGCCCCTCCCCCATTCGGCCAAGTGGTTTCTCAGCAAAAGAGCAAAGTTGCCCCTTCTGAACTATATTTATAGGTTTTCAGACCACTGGCTGTCTTCCAGACCAGGACATGTATCTCTTCCCACTTCTCAGTCCTATATTACCATTAATATATTGTAGCAAATTAATTTATCTCAATCCACAGCTTTTCATAATATTTTGCATTTACCTTTCTTCTCAAGAGATTTGCCAATAGTGAACTAGCACTCCTATGATATTATCATAGCGGACAAATACATTTATTTCTTCAATGCATAGGTTGAAAAATATAAAGCTGGAGATTAAGCATTAGACTACTCTGCTTAGATGTTGGAATTTTAATACATTCCCCCACCTCAGTAATGTTTTGCTTGCAAGCAAAGACTAAATGAGACTAGGTAGCAAACTCCCATACTGATCATTGGCATCTGTGTATAGAGAGGCACATAAACTCAAACTATATATATACTCAAAAAATCAATAAAAATCAGACTTTGTTCTAATCCCTGATAAGCATTCAAAGGGATAGAGACAAATCATCTTCCCTTCCTGTGGACCTTTGCGGTGGAGTCATGTAGAAATCACTCATGCTGCCCCCAAAGATTAACCACCACTAAATCAGATTAAACCAGTACCTTATGAGTCAAATTTTTAAACGTTGATCTGTATTTGCTTGAGGGTTCTCATTCCCTTATTGTTGGGTTCTGGGAGTATAGCTTCAGACACTTCCCTTTGAAAAGAAAATCACCTATGAGTTTGAATTTGGAATGCAACTTAGAGGAATCATTCTACCTCTGCAGAACCCAGCTTCCTTATGGTATGGGTTGTTGTTTCCTAGGATAAGTGGTAGAATTATTCATTGATTCTTTTTTCTCCATGGACTCTTTCTTTTTCTTCTTTCCAATAACACTTTTTCTTTCTGTAGCCATGCCCTTCTTGGCATACATAACAGTTACTACGTTAAACATAAGTGAGAATTTCTGAGTAAGGTAGGAAATGGACAACCACTTTTCTGCTTTGTAAACCAATACCTGGACCAGCATTTAGCTTACTCAAAGGACATATTCTTCCATTTGAATGAATATACATTAGGAAAGGGGAACCACCATTCACTCCTCAAATCAAACCAAATCCTTATTTAAGGCCTTGCCTCATTCATCTTATTCTCCACATTTACGGTTCTCACACACATTCTCTCAAGTGAGAGTGCACACACACACAGACACACACACACACACACATGTGTATGCCCTTCTACTTTAATTTTATTTTCCACCCCTAGAATAATGCTCTCACAGATTACAACCTTGGAACCTTCTTCCCACTGGCCAATTCACACCACACATCTCCTGGTTTACATCCAGGCACCATTTAGTTCTTACTTTCATTTCTATTATTCCTGAGTCCCATTTTATGAAGCCAGTTAGTTTAGCTGGCGAAAGCTTCCCGGATAAAGTAGAAAGGTCCCCAGGATGGGTTAATAACTTCCAGCAAAGACAATTTCTGTGCTATCATTTTAGACTAAATCTGTAACTCCACCAGCCAGCCCAATCACAAATGTGAGTCATTGGTTACACAGGGGACCAAGTCAAAGAGTGGGTTCAATGTAAACCCATTGTTACTATTAGGAAAAGAACCCAAAATTAAAGCTCATGGATCTGGGGGCAAAAATACAGCTAGATCTGTTTTGCATAACTCTTTTTATATTTTTAAATCACTTTGGTAGCTATTATCACCTTTTCTTATGTCAAGAACAGAGCATTGTGATCCTAACCTAATGAATCAAATTTTGAATTCTTATTGCTATGATTACAGTAATCGAGGCTGTTTTCATTTTTACCCAGTACCCATCCCACTTAGCTAGAGGAGTGGATGAGGAACATGGAATGGAGAGCTGGCCTCAGGAAGAGCTAGAGTCCAGAAGGCCTGGGCTCAAATCCTGACTGTGTGGCCCTGGATAAGTCATTTAAACTCCCACTGTCCCTAAGCAATTCTCTCAGAATGAAAATTGCAAAATATCTGTGGAAGGAAGTTCCTCAGTGGGAGTTTCCTATAACAAAACAAGCAAAGGTACAGTGCTCCACTGCACACCCTAATTACATTTAGAAGAACACTTCTATTTGAAGACTTTGGGGCCAGACCAGTGCTTGGCAGCTGTGTGAACTTCTCCTCCATGCAGTCTGTCCCAGTAGAAAGAAAGAAAAGAAGAAATGAGATCCCTTGGACATCTTGAAACCCTGTAAACCACCCTCCACCCCTCCACAATCCTGAGAGGGATCTCTCTGGCTCCTGAGAGGTCTCATTCAATCCTTTTTCAAGCTTCTTAGCTAGAATTCAATTTAATAAAATTTAAAAGGAAATCTTATATGCCTACCACATGAAAGGAATTGTACTGTGAATACAGAGATAAAAGAACAACACAGCCTTTGCCTTCAAAAAGCTGATAGTCTAATATATGCAAATAATAACCAATATTTGTACACATTTTAAGTTTGCTAAGTATCCTAAATGCATATGTGTAATACACACATAATCTTATTTCATCTTTTACAACAACCCTGTGATGTAGGTGCTATTTATTATTATCCTTATTTTATAAATGAGGAAACTAAGGCTGGGAGAGGTTATGTCACTTGGCCAGGGTCACATAGCTAGTGAGTGTCAGAGTTAGGGTTTGAACTCAGGTCTTTCTAACCTCATCTTCTAGCAGTCTATTCACTATGCTACCTAGCTGCCCTACAACTATGTAGAATGAAATATAGAATACGATATGTATGCAATAGAGCAGAGGAATCAAAATCATATAGAAACTGGGACTACTAAACCATACATAAGGATCCCCCTACCTGCTGCATGTTGGCTTAGAAAACTACATATTAACATTATCTATGTTCAATTGTATATTTATTTATATTGTATTTCCAAATTACATTTTAATCTAGTTTGGGTAGCTCCTGAGAGTGTTACAGACTGCAATGTGGCCCACTGGCTGCCTATTTGACACCTGGCTATTGAGGTTTAGAAGAGGTCTCCAAGAAAATGTGAAAGGAGAGATCATGTTCAGTTGCAGCATATTTGGGAAGGCTTCTGGGATGAAAAATAGCCCCTAGATTGAGCTCTGAAGGAAGGAAGAGGTTTTGGAAGAAGTTTGTTCCAGGTATGTGGGACTTTTTAACAAAATTAATTTATTTATTAAAAAAATTTTCCCCAGTTACATGTAAATTTTTTTTTTTGGTGAGGCAATTGGAGTTAAGTGACTTGCCCAGAGTCACACAGCTAGTGAGTGTTATGTGTCTGAGGTAGGATTTGAACTCAAGTCCTCCTGACTCCAGGGCAGGTGCTCTATCCACTGCGCCATCTAGCTGCCCCCCGAAAAATTTTTTTTAAACATTTATTTTTAAAACTTTGATTTCCAAATTTTCTCCTTTCCTCCCTCCCCACCCCCACCCCCATTGAGAAGGCAAGCAATTTGGTATAGGTTATACATGTGAAGTCACGCAAAACATATCCATAATAGTAATGTTGTGAAAGAAAACAGAAAAAAAAACCTCAAGAAAAATAAACAAAGTAAAAAAATATATACTTCAATCTGTATTCAGACACTGTAAGTTCTTTCTCTGGGGATGGATAGCATTTTTCATCATAAGTCCTTCAGAGTTGTCTTCTACAGTGGTATTGCTGAGGCTAGCTAAGTCATTCACAGCTGATCATTTTACAATAATGCTGTTACTTTGTACACAATATGTTTCACTTTGCA